GAGCAGGGAGCCCGATGCGGGACTCGATCCCAGGACTCCAGGATCATGACCTGAGCCGAAGGCAGTCGCTTAACCGACTGAGCCACCCAGGCGCCCACCAAAACAGTTTCTTAAAATATTTAAGATAGCTGCGAGTTGAAGGCATCCATCATGACTTTGAGAAGAATTGATTTTTGATTGTCTAAAGTAGCCTGTATTTAAAAGAAGGCATAACTCATTCATGACTCCTTTTTAAATTCTTCCCCTTAGAAAAAGACAGTCCCTTGGGTCTATTCTAAGAGTTAATTAGATTTAGTTTAGGCCCAGCCTAATACTGGGCCCAAACCTAGTGGTGTATATTGTGTAATATCTACTACTTTTATTCAAATATCAGAATAGACAGTTATCCTTCATAAGACCTCTTAGATGTATTACCTCCTAGATGTTAGCTGCCTTGAATATTTAAAAAAATGCACACTGAGTACTCATTAAATAAATATTGAGTGAACTATTTGTCACTCATTACACTAGATACTGAAGACTCAAATTGAGTAAGACATAATCTGCTCCCCCAAGGAGGTCACTGTGTAGTACAAGAAATATTGCAGTAGAGTGTGAAAAAATAGAAGTACTATGGTAATAAAGAAGGGAGTGATTGGTTGTGCCTAGAGAGTCAGGGAAGGCTTCATTAGGTTGAGTCTTGAAGGACTAATTATTTCAAAGCTGGGCTGAAAAAGGGTACTCACACAGCCAAAGAGAGTTGCATGTACAGGAACACAAGAGATAAACACCATGATATTTCCAGGGACTAGAAGGAGTTTGGAATTGCTGGGGTATAGAGTATGTGGAGAAGAGTGACAGGAAATGCCATCTTATATGACATACTCAAAAAACTGGGATTGCTCTGTAAGCAATTGCCAAGAGAACAAATTAGGACTTTAATTTTCAGCAGAAAAGAGACATGTTCATCAAACAAACCTGTAGTAAAATATGGCAAAGTAACATAAATGTAATAAACGCACTCTTGTTCTAAGTACTATCAAGTGTCATTTAAAATGCAGCTTTATCTTATTTGGTTGGTGTTTTGGGGTTTTTGTTTTGTTTTGTTTTTTCTTATATTTTTAAACATTGCTTTCTGATCAGTGTTTTCCAAAGCATAGACTGGATTCAACTCAGATGTAAGACCACAGTCTAAAAAGGCCATTCAACACTACCTGACAGTCCTACTATGCTTCCCTAGTAGATAGATTCTTCCACTTTCTGAAGAGACTATCTTAAAAGTCTTCTGTAACCACTGCCCCACCGATGACAGTCTTGCCTCATACGTAGAAAACAGATGAAGTCCAATTTGAAGCATCTCATCTTTTTATCACCAGCTTGAACAGTCTACCTGCATCAATACCCACATACTTCATTCAGTAAATTTTTATTGAACACCTTCTGAGATGCCCTCATGGAACCTAAATTCTAGTTACGACAGTTGGTAGAGAGACAGATAGTAAACAATAACATAAGTGAAATATATGCTATGTTAGGAGCTGGAAAAGTAGAGCAGGGTAAGGAGGATTAAGAGTGCATTTGGCTAGGGGCCCCTGAGTGGCCCAGTTGGTTAAATGTCTGACTCTTGATCTCAGCTCAGGTCTTGATCTCTCTTTTAAAAAAAAAAAAAAAGTACATTTGAGCAGGATAGCATGAAAGATTTTTTTTTTTTTTTTTTGAGAGGGAGAGAAAGCGGGGTTGGGAGCAGAGGGAGAGGGAGAATCTTCAGCAGGCTCCATGGAGCCAACGCGGGGCTCCACCATGACCTGAGCCAAAATTAAGAGTCGGAAGTTTAACCCACTGAGCCACCCAGCATGCAAGATTTTTATGGGGAAGTTAACATCTGAACAAAGACTTGAAAGGGATGAGAAAGCCGTGCACATGTCATGGGGAATAATATTCAAGCAGCACACTCAGTGCAAAGACCCTGTCAGGAGTATACCTGGTATGTTTGAGAAATAGCAAGAAGCCAGAGTTGCTGAAGCAGAATAAGCAGAGAAGAGAAGTGGGAGGTGAAGTCAGAGAGCCAGTAGGAGAGGGGATTTTATAGGGCCTAGAAGGTCACCATGAGAACCTTGCTTTCACTGTGTATGAGATAGGGAGCCAACAGAAGGCTTTGAGCGGAGAAGCAACAAGTCCTAACTTAAGTTTTGAGAGACTCATTCTGAGTGCTCTGTTCAAGACCAGGGGAGTAGAAGCAGGGAGAACAGTTAGGAGGCTGTTGTGTAGTCCTGGTAAGAGTTAAAGGTGACTTGGACCATGGTAGCAGCAGTGGAAATGGTGAGAAGTGGTCAGCATATTTTAAGGGTAGAACCAATAGTTATTGTGGACAGACTGGACATGGGATGTGAGCAAGTCAAGGTCAATGCCGTGGTTTTTTGACCTAGACAACTGAAAGGATGAAGTAGCCTTCAGCTGAGCTGGGGAAGACTACAGGGTAGAGCAGGTTTGGTGAGGGGAAAACAGAAACTTATTTTAAATAGAAATTTGAGATGTTTATCTGATATTTATTAGACAAATGGAGATAGATATTCTGTAATTGGATATATAAGTCTCGAGTTCAGGAGAAGTCTGTGCTAGAGATACATTTGAAAATCAACAGCATGAAAATGGTATTTTTAAGTCACAGGACTGAGTGAGATGACCTAGGGAATAGGTGTGGGTAGAGAAGAGGACCAAAGACTGGACTCCAGAGCACACCAAAGTTAAGGGCTGTGGGAGAGGAGAAGGAACCAGCCAAGGTAACAGATAAAGATCAAACAATGAGTTGGGAAGAAAACCAGAAGAAAGAGGTTCCTGGGAGTCAAGTAAAGAAATGTAATTCAAGAAGGATATGACCGACTATATTTCATGTACTGTTAAAATGTCAAGTAAGATAAAGATTGAGAATTAACCCTTAGATTTAGCAGCATGGAAATCGAAACCAGTTTTGGTAGTGATTTGACTATAAGAGAGAATAGGCTTTTATTTATTTATTAATAAACACTTATCTAACAGAGAGGGGTTAAGTAACTTGTCCAGGGTCACATAGCTAGCAGAAGTGGTGGCGGGTTTCAAACACAGCTGCTCTGCCTCCCCAGCCCCTCCTTTTAAGCACAGTGCTCTGCTGCCTCTGCATCGCTGGTAGGACTCGGATTTTGAGCATTTTTGCTGCAAAGAGCAGAGAAAAGGAAGAGCATGAGATCAAGAGATTTTGTTATTGTTTCCTTTCATGTGGGAGAAATAATGGAGTGATTCATTAGAAACTGAGGACTAGTTAAGCAAGAGAGAGGAGAGAGTGCCAGAATAATGCTCGAGTGCAAGCCTTGCTTGTAGGAAGGGGTACGGATATTTCCTCTGTAGCAATAAGCAGGAAGGCACAGTATGTTCCTTCCCTTTTATTACAGTGGGAGAAGTGTCCCTTTTCTTTCAAAAGCCAGCCATTCCACTTGTCATGGGTCCCATCCCTTCTCAAGGACATTGCTCTTGTAAGACATGACCACATAAGTATGGCTTCATATCATCTGTCTTTAGAAACCCCCCTCCATTCCACCTCCACCCCCACGTCCTTCCCCCTCCCCCTCAGCCTTCCTGGTTGGGTTTTTGCCCTCACTGTGCCACTGAAATGAGCTTCATAATGTTATTGACCGACTTCTTGCCAGTGGTCCCTGAGGGTTTTGTACTCACCTGCACTTCCTAGATGAGCTTATCCAGTCCCAGAGCTTTAAGTAGCATTTATATGTGGATGACTCTCAGACATATGTCCCCAGTCCAGACATGCCCCTTCAGCTCCTGTCTCAGACTCACATACCCATTTCTGTTGCTTCACACATATCTGGATTCCACCTCCCCTTGGATACCTAGATAATGGAAAACTCAGGTTTAACATGGTAAAAGAAAGTGTATTCCTACTGCACTCCCACCCACCCCCACCCTCCCCATCTTATAATCTGACTCTCTCATCTGTAGTTCCTCAGACCATAAATCCAGGACTTTTCCCTACTTCCTCTCTTCGTGCCACACATCCAAACCATCACTGAAGTCTTGCCAACTCTACCTGCCAAAGATATTCCAGACCGTCTGCTACTTACTGTTTCCACTGATAAAACCAGAGCACAGCCCACCCTCTTAGTTGGACTCCTACAGAACTCCTTAACTGGCTTCTTGGCCTTCACTTTTGCTACCTAACAGTCCATCCCCCAAGCAGCAGCCAAAGGGATGTCTAAAGTATAATCCAGTATTAAGTCAAATCACACATAAAACCCACAGATGGCTTCCCCTCAGTACCACGATAAAATCCAGATTCCTGCCATATCCCTCCAGACCCTACGTGATCTGCTCCCTGCCCACTCTCCAGTCTCACTTCTACTCTCTACCCCTCCATTACAACACACTTCTGCCATGCGAGGCTTCTTTCTGCCCTTCGAACATTTTAAGCTTGTTCCAAGCATGTTCTCTTCCCAAGAGCTTGCATTTATTTATTGTTGCTTCTGTTTGGATGCTCTTTCTGCTTCTTGGCTTATTAGCAGCCTCATTCCCATCAGTCATGTTTCAACTCAGATGTTAGCTTCCTTGTGGCGTTATCTGTACCATCCAGTTTATGTGTTTATTGTGTCTCCCCTCATTAGAATGTTAGTTCATTAAAACTAGTTTGTTTTATTCACTGCTGACCACCCCCTTCCCAGCTCCTTGATTAGTATCGGCCACAGTGGGTGCCACATGACTGATGAATATAGCGTATAATATGTGAAGTCTTATTTGTTCTAAATGGTTTTAGATGTTTTTAAACTTATCATTATTATGTACCTTCTAGACCTACTATTGTACACAGATTCTTAATTAAGGCAACAATAGAAGAAAGAATGCAAGCAATGCTGAAAACTGCTGAGAAGAGGTAGGTAACAATCTCCTACAAGCTGATGGGTGTTTCCTGTTTATATAAGGTTATGCACGTGTTTGGGACTTCTTCAATTAGATGACCAGATACTTTTTAAAAGCAAGATAGGACATTTTACCTATCTAAAATTTCCCAGTTAATGCTCTAGACATCCTATATTTGATTTCATTTATTAATAGGGATTGTAAAGTTTAAAAATATTTAAACTGCCCTACATTTCTTTGCCATATTGGATTACTTTTTAAAGAAATCTATCTTTATGCCCATCCTAAAAGCCTTAGTCTGATATCTGTAAAAGGAAACTTACAGTGTTGCTTTATACATCACACATGTTAGTCACATGCACATAGGAAGATCTGGACTTAAAACTCAGCTGGTGATTTTGATATTTGTTCCAAAGGCAGAACAGAAGCAGAGAGACCAGAGTAGCCTTAATTTTAAAAACTTAACTTTAGAATTATAAAACTTTCTAATATTTATTCCGTAATTTTCTTCCAAGTCATTTTGAAAACATAAACCAATGCTTTACTACATCCTTACGAGATAGGTATGGTTGGCAGATATGGAGGAATGATCCTTGGGGGGATGTCTCTACAGAGGCACTGTGCATAGCAAAGACGCAGTTTGAAACCAGAAATCTCCTTCCATTGGTGGTTTATGGGAAGGAAAGAGTCTACCATGAAAGCCGTTTTCATCAGACATCAAGGTTTCTTATTGTTGATGTTTCCATGTGTAACAGGATTCAGCGATTATAGTTAAGCTGCTTAAATAAAATAGCATTTAGAAGAGCTATCGAAATTCTCTTGAAATACACTAACTTTGGGAAGTAAGAAATTCTAAGGTGAGAGCCTTAGCAGTAGTTGGCATGGGTTTTGTTTCTTTGTTTTAGGAATTGTGGAGAGAAAAGACATTTTATAACAAAGCCTAAAAGTGCTATCCAGAAGTCTTCACTAATTTTGACGAGATCTAACAATGATCCTATCACTGACTTTGTTCTTGGAGGTTCTTGTGGCTCACTTACAAACACTGATGAGGAAATATGTTTTTATAAGAATATTCTTATATCATTATGTCTTAATATTATTATAGGACAAGAGCAAAATATAACACAAATGTAATCATTTATTATTTCTGACTCTACTCACTTGGAAAATCCTACAGTCACACGAACTCATCGGTGAAGCACCCAGAGGCCTCCGTCTTAACCTTGGCTGATCTGGCAGACCTGTTTACCAAAGAAACTGAAGAACTTGAATGAAGTACACTTGGTTCAATCCAGACTTTAATGTATTTAAATTTTTCATAGCTTATAGAGTAAAGTTATAAGTAAAAAATCCAGTAGATGTCAGTAAATACTGTTCTTCATTGAATGAATTTCTTTTTTTAAGTTGTATGGTGTCCTAGTAGTTACTGAGTTCTTTCCAATTATCTTGTTTCCAAAAGATCTATAAAGATTTTTAATTTTACACTCCTAATAGAACATTTATTTTTGTCCCAAAGAATATCTATATCTGATGAGGCAAGGGAATTAAGAGAGGTAATGTGTACTTTTCTTTTGATAAGATCAGTCTTAAAAAGAGTTGAAGTAAGGGAGAGAGTAAACTGGTCTAGTTTCATACCACCTAGTATATTTGACCCACTTAAACTCAGTTTTGGAAGGGCCTTCAGTATCTTTAGCACATGATTCACCAATATCTTGGTAGTAATATTTTAAGTAGATGGTGAATTATATTAACTCCTAGTTATTTGAGTAGCTTTAGACTATAACTCCATGCATACTAACTTTACAGTAATACAATTCCTAATAATAAGTTAATATTAGACAAGTATTTATTTTCTCTATGTTGGTACTAAAAATTGAAACATTGAACACTTTTCTTATTTCTGTGATGTGTTTAAGTAATGTCAGTGTAAGCAGTGAACTTTAAATAGCATTTTAAGTGTATCCATGTTTATCATAAAATTATCTAAACTGCTTTCTCTACTTTTAATTTTCCTTATTGTTTTTACATATTTTAAGATTGATGTATCTGTAAATATTGCAATTTTTATAATTTTAGTTCTTAATCATTATAACACACAGGTATGACAGGGTTTTGCTTTTTTTTTTTTTTTTAATCATTATTATACTGATGTCTTGGATTCTTTTCCTTTCCCGTGTTCTTTGGAAACTAGACTTTTAACCACTAGTATCTAAATTTGTGATAATTTGTTATTTTATTTCACTAGGACTTCTCTCAAGGACTAGTATTTGATCTTTGGAACAAGAGAATGTCATATTTACATAAGCAAATAATTGCAACCGGTAACAACTGAGTGTTTCTTCTTCTGTGAAGAATTAATGGACTTTGAAATCACTAAATAAGGAGTAGCTTGTTTTATCCTAGCCATTTGATGTAATACAAATGTTCTTGTTTTGTTTTCTTTGAGCCTTCAGAGTTTTAAAATGACCCTCAGGACTCATTAGCTCCTACTTAGCTGCCCAGAAAACTGTAATAGAAATATCCCTTCTGTCACATTTGTCCAAGAAGCTTTGGTGCTTAGTTAAGGTGCATTTTCTTATTCTAGGCCTATAGGGTGACATAATTCAACTGAAGAAAACACACACACATTTTTGGTGCTTATTCTTCAGTTGGAGGAAGATATGCATTGATTCTTTTATATGAAATTAAACAAAACTATTATTTTTGTAGCTCTTTACATATTATAAAGAGCTTTCCTGTACATTCACATTTAGCTTTAATTTGCCCAACAATCCTATGAAGTTGATATAACTAATATCATACCTGTTCTAAAGTTAGAGAACCAAGGTTCAGAAATACAGAGAACTGTGTTTGTGACACATAGCAAGGAAACAATGGAGCCCAGGTCCCGTGACTCCCAATCTCATGGTCTTTCTCTAAATCTTATGTCATGCTGATGAGATTCAGAAGGCCCGTGGTTATAATTTAATGATGAGCATATTTCAGTATTTTTGTTTGTTTCCTAGTATTCCTTTTTGAGCTAAAGTTTTAGGGAATACAATTTGATATGCTTCGATTTTGTAAAAAAGGAAAAACTATATATATATATATATATACACACACACATATATATATATATGTATGTATACCTATCTGTATTAGAGAAAAACTGTTCTTATTTATTTCTGTAAGATATCATTAATTAAATAAATATTTTAGTGGAAATTGAAATTTGGGGATTTATTAATTTCTGAGCCATACGACATACAGTATATTTTCTTGTTTTTTGTTTTGGTCTCTCAACAAAAGGTGTCAAAATTGTTTATACTATAGAATTCTGTATTTTATAGACATTTATTATTTCTTCAAAACAGTTGTAGCAGTTCTTCCAGACAGTTGTTCAAAACAAATACAGGTCTAATCCCCACATCTTCTTGGCTGCAAACAAAGGACTTTCTTGTTTCCTTCTTCCATCATTTTATATTTTCTGAACTATCATTGTGCTCACAAATAGTTGTTCCGAAGTAGGTGCTGTACTAATGAACCTGTGAGAAAAAACGAGATCGTGCCAGTCCTTAAAGAGCTTAAATGTGTTTGGCTCTGGGGAAGCATTCTCTGTTAAGTGAATCTAAGTGAGCTTAGAGCTTGAAAAGATGGGGTATATACAATGTAAAACACATGTGCCGAATTCCATAATCCTTTGCCTCAAACCCAGATAGCTTCCCTGTTTATTGCAGCTTCAACTTTTCTCTTGGTATGTGATTGCTGCAGAATGATCCATGTGTTTGGTTTTTTAAGGATTCCTTCTTTTCATGTCAATAACAATAAACTAAAAACGATCGACATTTGATAATTGAACATGTAACCACAAATGCTTTACGAATAATTATCAAACTCACAGTACTCATCAAAATATTTAGGAATGGAATTGAGCAATGCATGATTAATTAGTCCTCAACTTAAGCTGCCCTTTCAAGTAGACAAAGGAACAAATAAGTCTTTTGAATATTCTGCTCTCATTTACTAGATATAGTACATTAAAGATTTAGTGTAGGGGCGCCTGGATGGCTCAGTC